ATTATGGGTATGAACAGAACAAAGTTGCGGTCGCAGGGCTGGGCAAAAGTAGAGAGCAATGGCAGAACTGAAGCGATCGGGTCGAAACATTTCGACCATCGTTTGAGAAGGTTAACCATAAGGCTTAACCTTCATGATCCACTTTAGCTCATCCCAAAGTTGCCTTATTGCATCCCTGGCAGCGTCCAACATTCATCAAGACACTGCAACCATCGACTTCCACTTTGTCCAGTTCTTCTCTTGATCACACAACGCCCTTGTGGCTGCATGTTTCTGTGAGGCCTGGCCTTCTTTGTGCAAGAATTTTTGAGTAAGACAATTTAAAGTATTTGGGAAAGGAAATTTGGATCTTCTTGGGATCTTCTTTTTGGACTGCATCCACTACACTCACAGGTGCAGTTGTGCGAAACTTCATACACATCTAAGTAAGTCTGAGCACCTAAATAGCTGTGTGACACACCGGCATTTGTTTTGGGACGGAGACGCATATGACAGGGTAACAGGACCGTCGTTTGTACTCATTTCACACATTTGGTCAAACTGGAACTTCTTGTTGACAGACTGCACTGGCCCTCAAGCTCCAAACCCCGGCCAGCTCCTCTATTCAAACCACAGCCTGTCAAAATCTCCCATTGGACGTGCAGTCCCACACCGGAAACTTGCCTCCCCTCAAATAACCCTGTCATGGCTGCCGGCGATGCCGGCTTCCGTTGGCGATACCGTCAGCGATGCCGTCAACATTGCGCCCTATCGTACGTTCCCCCCGCGGCCAGCTCTCACTCCCTTCAGCACGCGATAAAAACATTCGCCGACAGGCTGAAGTTGACACTGTTCTTCCCGACAGCGGGACGGCCAGAGGACGCAGTCGCCAGGAGTGAGCGTAACAAGCCCGTGGAGCGGTCGCCCGGCTCAAGGCCCGGGGCAGATCCTCCCGCGAGCGCAGAGAACGGGTCGCCGGCGCTTACAGAAGGCATCCGACCGCGGCTGCAAAGGGCCAAAGCAGTTGTAAGTCGAACTCCCCGCGGGATTTTCGCATCAAGGTGTAGGTGAGGCAAGCGCGGAGGGGCAGCGTCCGTGGGAGGGCTGGCGATGCTGATGCTCGACGCGGTAGTTTAGCAAAACCGGCATCCGCCTGACGGATCTCTTTTGCCGGGAGTGACACGGGCGCAATTAAAAGCGCGTATCCCAAACGGAGGATCTTCGGCCGGTCCCGGCTGTAGGCGACGGCGGCGGTTTGCCCGCACGAGAGCCTACGCGGGGACTGGCAAACACCCCTACGGCTGCTTGTCCAGTCGGTTCAATTTGCAGGTTCCGCCGTGCAGATGCGGCCATGTTCGTCGACACTCTGAGATTCGGCAATCGATATCTGCCAGACATGCCCGCAGACAGCTGCAAGCGCGACTCGCGTCTGCTTGCCCGTGCCCATCCTGGCACCGAGTCGTCTTTCTGGTCAATCAGGTCGCGAGAGAGGCAGACCTTCATCTCTGGCGCCAGTGTTGGGCGATGGACGGCATTCACTTTTCATCCATACGGGCATTGACTCCCGCCCACCGGCGCCCGCTTCAACTCGCCCTGCTGTGCTCGGCGCTGATTGCTCTGCTGCCAGGAGCCGCGGCCCGGGAGGTCCCTGCGTGCCCCGCGCGCCTGGACGCTGACGTCCTCGTCCTGGGCGCTGGCATCGCGGGCATTTCAGCCGGAAAAGCCCTGCACGAGAACGGCGTCAAAGACTTTCTGATCATCGAAGGCACGGACAGGGTCGGTGGTCGGATAAGGAACCAGGAGTTCGGTGGCATACGGGTGGAGATGGGCGCGAACTGGATCCACGCGGTGGACCCCACGGGCGACGCGCCCAAAGTCAATCCTATATGGGAGCTGAGGGAAAAGTGTGGGCTGGAGGTGGCCATCAACGACTGGGAGGACTCCGTGGTTTACGACGGCGACGGCAATGACATCATCGACGCTGAAAGTTTTCGGTACGATGCCTTTGAGACGGCCTTCAATCGGGTCATCGAAATGTCCGAGGAATTTGGGGCCATAGGGAACGGCGAAGTCACCGGGCCGGTGATCCTGTCAGGTGCCAACGTCACGTCACTTGTGGGGCCAAAAGGCGACATCAACCTCAAGGACGCGTTAGCGGCCGCCGGGTGGACGGCCGAGACCACCGAAGACGTTTTTGTGGAGTACGACGGGATTGATAGCTGCCTGGGAGAGCGCCCCGACAAGATTGGCCTCAAGCACTTCAAGCACTATGGGAACGTGAACGAGGCATTCGGAGAGGAGGAAGCTTTCGTGACGGATCAGAGGGGGTATGCACATGTGGTGAACTGCCTCGCCGAGGACTTTTTGGTCGATGGGGATGACCGCCTCCGGCTGAATGCCCCCGTGAGGGCCATTCGTTACGCGGACGAGTGCGTGTGTGTGGACATCCTCCCGGAGGGCGGAAAAGCCGGCGCTGAGACGGTGTGCGGGCGCTACGCCATAGCCACCTTTTCATCGGGTGTGCTGCAGGATTCCGCGTTTTCGGAATCTCCCTTCGTGGAAATGTCTCCCCCGCTGCCGGATTGGAAGCGAGATGCCCTGTCCCTGACGAACATGACCGTCTACCTCAAGATTTTCGCCAGGTTCAACGCGGCCTTCTGGGACGACGTCGAGTTCATCGGCAGGGCGGCCACGCCGCCCAATGCGGCGCTGGACTGGGCATCCATTTTGCCTTTGAGCCTTTCCAGCGGCAAATTCGCCCCCATTCCCGCCAACACGCCCATCATCCTGGTCGATGTCTACGGAGACCAGGCGCGGCGCCTTGCGCGTCAGACTGTGGAAGAAAACACGGAGGAAATGATGGCAATGCTGAGGGACATTTATGGCCAAGATGTTCCTTCCCCCGAAGAAGTGTTCATACCCGACCTGCACAACAGCCCTTTCTTTCGAGGCAGCTGGAGGAATTATGTGGAAGGAGCGAGCCAGGAAACGTTCGAGATGCTGCGGGTACCGCTTGGGGCGCTGCACTTTGCGGGTGGATACACGAGCGTGAAATACTTGGAATTTACTCAGGGCGCCCATCTCGAGGGCCTCAGGGTCGGTCAGGTGGTGGCTACAAAGATCCTCACGAAGTGAATGATGTTGTTTCGGGTGCAGCGGCAAAACTTGCAAGTATTTAGGAAATATTACCAACTTTCACTTCGGGTTTGGCAAGCACCCACATGGGGGGCACCGGGGGATGGAATGCTTTCATGAATTGCACTCAAAAGCCTGCCAGCGTCACATGAAGAAAATGGCTTGAAGTGTAATGAGAATGCCGGACCTTCTGGTACTTAAAACGCGAAGGACTTCTCTGCAATTATTTTGTTCCATACATCGAAGAACCCTCTGCGCGGAAAAAAGGAAATCTGTGGATGGCGCTCGCGCCACGAGGGAATCCCCGCCCGCGGCTTTCGATTGAGAACGCACCCGTACGCGCCAATGCGTGAACACCAGATGGGGCTTGCTGGGCTGGGAGCGGGGCGTGGCCACGGCAGGGCCTTTTCATGGCTTCCATCAATTTCTGCTGTTGCAGCCACGCCGCCGTGATCCACTATACTCGTCCAAAACCTGACGGATTGCGGCCATGGCAGCGTCTGTCATTCGCATGGTCACTGCAGCCCTCAACATTCTACCGAGCTCCTCTCCTTATCCGACAGCTCCCTTTTCTCTGCGCAATTCGGTGAAGTTTGACCTTCATTGCCCAAGCACTTCGGAGTCAAGACACTTTAATGAAATGCTCGGTAATTGAAATTTGGATCCGACTTTTGGAAAGCACCCACTAAACTCGTAACCGCAGTTCTGCGCAAAATTCGTAGAAACCCGATTTGGTCTGTGCGCCTTATGTTAACCTTATTGAGGGTGCCGTGGCGTCACACTGGCATTTGTTCTGGGACGGAGAAGGTGTACGGCAGGGTGACAGACCGTCGTTGGCATTAATTTCACACCGTTGGTCAAAATGGAATTACTTGTTGACAGATTCCAGTGGGCCTGAAGCCCCAAAGCTCCACAGCCCGCCTCATTCGTTGCGCAACCTGACTCCGTGAGCTGGCAGGCAATAAAATAGGGCCCCATTGTTGCTGTCACCTATGCTGTCACGTCACTGTCTACACCCTATCGTACGTGCCCCGGGCGGGCATCTCACTTCCCTCAGCACCTCACAAAAACAATTCGGCGACGGGTCGAAGGGTGACCCTGATCGTCCTGAAGACCCAAGGGCCGGGGGACGCCAGGAGCAAGCGACAGCAACCTGTGGAACGGCCGCCTGTGTGAAGGCCCCGGGGACAGCTCCTCCCGCGAGCGCAGGGCACGGGTCAACGCAGCTGACAGAAGGGCATCCCGCCGTATCTGCGGGCGGGCAAAGCAGCGGGCGCGTCACGTCGCCGGGGCGTATTCGCCTCGAAGTGTAGGTGAGGCGTGTGGGGAGGATCAGGGTCCTAGGGGAACGTTGGAGACACTGATGCTCGACCCGACGGCTCAGCAAAGCCACCATCCATGCGCCGGCCCTTCCCTGCAGGAAGTGGCGCGGCTGCCGTCGCGGGTGTCATCACCCACACGAGTTTTCAGGGATCTCGGGCTAGTCCCCGTTGCCGGCGACCGCGGCGGTTTGGCTGCGCGCCCACCGCAGAGTGCCCAGCCGGCCGATTGTGCAGTCCGGTCGCGGAGATGTGGCAATCCTCCGGGATTTGGATGGGCAAATCGACTCGATATCTGCCAGGCGTGCCGTCAGGTATCTGCGAGCGTATCTCGCATCGGCAGGCGCCTCCCCGTACTGACCCCGAGTTGTCTTCTTCTCGCCTTTGAGGCCGCCAGCTGTCCAGGAGGTTGATCACGCAGATCCCCGCGGAGATGTGACCAAGTTGGAAGGCCGAATCTGCGAGGATGTCTCGCGAAAGGTTGTCCGCCCCATCCTGACCCAGAGAGTTTTTCCTGGACCTTCAGGTCGCGAGAGAGGCCCGTCATCTCTGGCGCCAGTCTGGGCGATGGACAGCGGTCACGCTTCGTCCGTCCGGGCATGTCCTCTCTCGCCGGCGCGACTCCATCGACTTGCCCTGCTGTGCTCGGCGCTGATTGTTCTCCTACGGGAAGCTGCAGCCCTGGAGGTCCCTGCGTGCCCCGCGCGCCTGGACGCCGACGTCCTCGTCCTGGGCGCCGGCATCGCGGGCATTTCAGCCGGAAAAGCCCTGCACGAGAACGGCGTCGAAGACTTTCTGATCATCGAAGGCACGGACAGGGTCGGTGGTCGGATAAGGAACCAGGAGTTCGGTGGCATACGGGTGGAGGTGGGCGCGAACTGGATCCACGCGGTGGACCCCACGGGCGACGCGCCCAAAGTCAACCCTATATGGGAGCTGAGGGAAAAGTGTGGGCTGGAGGTGGCCATCAACGACTGGGAGGACTCCGTGGTTTACGACGGCGACGGAAACGAAATCGACGATGACGCTTTCAGGTACGAGGATTTCGAGACGGCCTTCAATCGGGTCGTCGAAATGTCCAAGGACCTTGGGGCCCAGGGGAAGGGCGAAGTCACGGGGGAGCTGATCCTGTCCGGCGTGAATGTCACGTCGCTTGTGGGGCCGAGGGGCGACGTAAACCTCAAGGACGCGTTTGCCGCCGCCGGGTGGACGGCCGAGACGCCCGAAGACGTCTTCGTGGAGTACGCCGAGTTGGACGATTGCTCGGGAGAGCGTCCAGACAAGCTGGGCCTCAAGCACTTCAAGAGCTCTGTGGAAGTTTTCGAGGCGTTTGGCGAGGAGGATGCTTTCGTCACGGACCAGAGGGGCCACGCCCAGGTGGTGAGGTGCCTCGCCGAGGACTTTTTGGTCGATGGGGATGACCGGCTGCGGCTGAGTGCTCCCGTGAGGGCCATGCGTTACAGGGACGAGTGCGTGTGTGTGGACATCGTCCCAGAGGGCGGGAAAGCCGGCAATGAGACGGTGTGCGGGCGCTACGCCATAGCCACCTTTTCATCGGGCGTGCTGCAGGATTCCGCGTTTTCGGAATCTCCCTTCGTGGAAATGTCGCCCCCGCTGCCGGATTGGAAGCGAGATGCCCTGTCCCTGACGAACATGACGGTCTACCTCAAGATTTTCGCCAGGTTCAGCGCGGCATTTTGGGACGACGTCGAGTTCATCGGCAGGGCGGCCACGCCGCCCAATGCGGCGATGGACTGGGCATCCTTCCTGCCTATGAGCCTTTCTAGCGGCAAGTTCGCCCCCATTCCCGCCAACACGCCCATCATCATAGCCAATGTTGCAGGAGACCTGGCACGGCGCTTGGCAAGACAGACCGTGGAAGAGAACACGGAGGAAATGATGGCGGTGCTGAGGGGGATATACGGTCCAGACATTCCGCCACCTGAGGAGGTGTTCATACCCGACCTGCACAACAGCCCTTTCTTTCGAGGCAGCTGGACTAATTATTTGGAAGGGGCGAGCCAGGAGACCGTTGAGCTGTTGCGGGTACCGCTTGGGGCGCTGCACTTTGCGGGCGGATACACGAGCGTGAAGTACTTGGAATTTACACAGGGCGCCCATCTCGAGGGCCTCAGGGTCGGGCAGGCGGTGGCTACGAAGATCCTCACAAAGTGAAGAATGTTCTTTTCGGGTGCAGCAGGAAAAGTTGCAAGTGCTGAAACAGTGTCATCAGTTTTCATGTGCGCTTTGGCAATCGCCCGCACGGTGTCTGCTGGGCGATGGAGACGACTCCTCAGAATGGGGTGAGCATGTAAATGCTTTCATGAATTGCCCACAAGCCCACCCTCGCTGCATGGAGAAACAGCTTGAAGAATGGTCAGAATATAGGATGTTCTGGTATCTAAACGGCGAGTGACGTGTATGAAATCAATTTGCCCCGGACAAGAATGAGCGGATAAAGCGCAAGTTTTCTTTTTCTTTTTCGGGAGGGGAGGGGATTTTCATGGCTTCCATGAGTTTTTTATTGCAGCATCGCTGCCGTGCACAGGAAACCCCAACGACCCTATGCGCGTGGAAGTGAATTTCCCATGACACAGACAGACATCTGCAGTGCCCGTGGGCGTGCAGTTTCGCCGTGTTCTTGGCCAAGCAGCTGAGGGATTTCATTTTGTATCCACAGTCGCACCACAACATCGCTAAAGAAAACGTCAGAAGTGAAGTTGGCACAGGAGCGTTGACTCCAAGCAGGAACAGGCCTTTATCGCCATAGATGGTGCACCAGGCTTTGTTCCAGCCGATCATTCCCAGCCACCGCCGCCGTTTGCTGGTAGCCATCGATGGAATCAACAGGGACGCACTAAATGCAAATTTTGCGCCCTCCCCAAGCTCCCTCCCCTCCCCCAGTTTGCCTTTGCAGCCTCTCCATGCATGTTCCGAAGAACAACAATTGGGCGATTTTGTTTGAGCATAGTGCCGAAGAGCAATCCCTTCATTAAGCGATGCTGAAATGATAATGATGAAACGCGATGCTGAAACGATAATGATGATACGCTCACAACACCAAGGTGTATGACGCCAGGAGAAAGGATTACAAGTGTAGGGACCATTGAGGCGGGACTGCGCATCTTGCATCGCGACGTGCAATGCAGCTGCGATTAGATTCCGTTCTGCACTCGTCTATGGATCAGCGAACATTGCTTGCTACCTGATGACAATCCAACACCCTTAGCCATACTCAATGTAGTTATCACACAATATCCCTGCAATTTGCGGCAGCACATCATACGTTCATGCGGCATCTGTTCGGGGATGGCACTGCAGCCACATCCCGCCGTCGATGGCCAAGGCCATCGCATTGTACTGGCGGGAGCAGGCGCCGTCCCAGCCGCCCATCTTGTCAGCAAGCCTGCAGGGGCAAAAACATGAAGCCTGAGGCTCGAACAAGATCCAGATGCTTGCGTCTTGAAGCCCGGACGTTGATATGAAGAAGAACACGTGAACACAAACAACTGGTGCACGTTGAAAAGGCCAAAGCGCCAGCGCCTCCAGTTTGGCCATACGGTCCATTAAATGCATGGATTTACACATTTTCCCATTATATTGGAATATGGAGGTCTTGCGGCTGACAGGAACATAAGGACCATGTGTCCCTGTACACTGCATCACTCTGTTTGACGCATTAATGAATCCAATATGCGCAGCATTTAGCTCCATGCAAAATGAACGGAATACAGATTCAGCCTGGCCCAGAGCATCTCAGCATGCCTTCCAGGCACTTCATCCCCAGGCATCGGGGTTCAACGTCAAGTCAACTTCCTGTGGTGTTCGCATCCGCCCAAACATGGATGCTACCCATTGTGCATGGGGACGCGATTTTGGGATCGAGGTTTTGGCCAGAATCATCTTGAAAAGTTCTACATCCCTGGATATGGATTTCTTTCCCAACGAAGTGTAAGAAGGAATATGCGCTTGTCATTGTCATGTGCTGCCAGGTGAGTGCTTGGCTCGCAGGCAATGGCCAGCGCTAGGTGGTACAAGCTCCAAATGTGCTCATCATCACGAATGCACAATTAACACTGTTGTAACTTGAGTATTATTAACAACTGAATGCATGAAAGATGATGAAGCACTAGGAATTGCATTATGGACGTTGATGAACGGGACGAACGCCTGTTATCCTTTTGCCTCGGCTGTAAACCGTTGCCGTGGACTCGAGCATACGATTCCCTTTCAGGGATCGCCACCCCTCGATCCTGCCTACCTTCGACAACATCATGGTAAATACCAGACAGGCTTTACTATAACTGCATTGCTATACCCGTGCTAACTTCATTCCAATCAATCTTTCAAGCGCAACCAATGAAACGTCACTATGCACGGGAAATTTGATGGCTCATAGAGCATCACGAGCAGCTGAGGTGACTGGATAGGGGGGTATGGTCTACAGTCACATTTCGAGGATATCTATCTGCGCATACACATCCGACAAACAAGGTCGCTGGGGGCCAGGAATAAAGAAATACCCAATGGCCTCTTCAACATGCGACCTAACATAATTGTAAGTATCTAATTTTTACATACTCATTCATTACTCCATTGATAGGCATCAAACAATGTTTAATCAGCTGGTCCAAATCTGAAGATACCTGAATTCAAAGTTTGCCAGAAGAACGGCCATCACGCTGAGAAGTTCCATCATGGCCAGACGCTGGCCGATGCAGTCCCGTGGCCCATCGCTGAAGGACCAGAAACTGCGCGTGGCACCCTTCCTCTCAGATCGCGCATCTACCTCCGAGGCTTCCTGTCGTGCCTGGTTAGACCACCTCTCCGGGTTGAAATGTTCAGGGTGCTCCCACAGCCAAGGGGCATTGAATAGAGCATGGATACAGGCAATCACATACGTGTTCTTGGGGACACGATACCCACACACCCGTTCCCCGTCCTTGGTGGTGCACCTCAAGGTACCGAGGGAAGTGGAGGGGAACAGCCGCATTGCTTCCTTTGTCACCATCGTCAGATAATTCAAACTGGTGATGTCAGAATACGTCAACCTGTCAACGCCTCCCTTCCTCAGGCGTTGGAACATTCCGCAGCCTTTAATCTCTGCTTCGATCTTCCGCTGCACATCTGGGAGAGCAGCGATGGCAAACATAGCCCACATGGCCTGGTGTGCTGTGGTGTCTGTGGCAGCTAGAATGAAGGTTGCTACTTCCGGGCACAGGAGCTCATCGTCCAGCGGCACTCCTGTTTCAGGGTCCTTCAGACGCATCAGGCAGGCCCAAAGGGAGTGGTCATCTGCTGCAGGCTCACCCCTTCCCCTCAGTTCTTTTAAAATCCAGTCGTATTCGTTGTACAGCTGGCCATACAGCTTGTCACACTCCTGGGCGAGTTTGCCTGAGGGGAAGAGCCGCTTCACAACACCACGGCAGGGGTTTGCAGAGGAAGCCAAAGCTTCTGAGCTGCAATACACGAGTGCTTCAAACAATGGGCAGTGCTTGTTCTGCAATGCCTTGAAGTCAATGTTGTAACCCACAAGTCCAGCTGTGTCCAATGTGAAGCGAACAAACAGCGGCTGAAAGTCTATAGCCTCATCGGCAGAGGTTCCTCTAATGATCTCAACAAGCTCATTGGCCTTCTTCAATACCAGAGGAAATTTTGCCTTCAGCGCTTCAGTACTGAACGCCCTAGAAGTCCCCTTCCTTGTTGACTTCCACCGGGAATCCATTTCACGTGCAGTGAAGAGGCTGTCATGACCATGTCCACCAAACAGCTGCGAACATCCCATGCCCAACAGACAGACATCCGTCGTAAGGATTGGGGTTGTGTGACGTCCATCCAGTTTTTCACAGCACAGAGACCCTGTCCACGTTTGTACTCTCTGAGAAAACGTTTGTGTACGAATCTGATTTCCGCTGTTGTGTCGATTTCAAGTGAGGGTAACGGGGGCCAAGTATGGTGGCTGGTGGTCACTGGGCATGAGGAGCCTCACTTTCATTGGTGAAACAAAATACCCCGTCTGCATGACCGAGGAGCGCTTTGTTGGAAACTGCCCCCATGCGTGAAAGCAGGAGCATTGCACACTGGCACACTCTCGACTGGGTGGGACACATCCTACTAAGATTTGATTTGACACCCTTTACATTGAATGTGGCGACACAAAACCCAACTCACATGCCACATTTTTTGCTCATCAGCACGGCGCACAGCACAATGCACTGCATGACCACCAAAGCCCTTGTTTCAGGTGAAAAAGGAAACATGGTCCTTGGTCACAGAGTGCTCTCGTGGTCCCTGCGTTTGATTTGCTTGGCAAGGTTTCCCACTTATGGATGGCTCCAAGCAAATCCCTACCTTCTTGAGCTCTGCGTACACCTGTGTCTTGGGGAGGCCATGGGCACCATGGCCAGTAATGTTTTTCTGGACGTACTCTGGATCTGTCACAAACACTAACCTTCCAATTCCTGGAGCGTCCACCTGCAGTCACAAAGCGTCAAAGGAACGACAGGGGGTGGTCAGCAGGTGTGGGTCCTGCGTGTTTGCTTTCTGTTTCTAACTTGTTAATGAAATTATGTGGCCTGCAAGCAATGGAAAATTTTCTACCATCAGTCTGGATGTGTGGGTCTCGGTACACAAACGATGGGCAAACCCTGAAAGCTGGCAGCATTGTTCACATATACAAGGGAAAATTCAAAGGAAACAGCAAGCTTTCTGAGGGGATTGTGTGCGCTGTAGGGAGAAAGAAGGTGGGAACTAGACGGCCCAAAAAATGCCTCTTTCGAATTCAGGACTGCTGGACTTCGAAGCCCACAGCTGTGCCTAGCAACGGTCCTCTTTCTTCAAAAATAACTGAAGACATTCAAGTACAAGGCAGAGGCAACCATAGCATCGCACATAAACTGCATCAGGTCGCAGCAATTCAGAACTGACAACCGTAACCAGCAAAGCAGCAGGGAAACGGCCTCGCACAGCGGAAAATTCAGCTTGTACTCCAGGAGTGTCCAGGAGTGGTTGAAGAACTGCGCATTGCTTAGCTCCCTCGCTGTTCTCGTACCCATGGCCATCCACCGAACGGCCCCACCGCTCGTCCGTCGTGAGATTTGCACGAACAGAAAACAATTGCATCCCCAATTCTCCCACCTTGAAAATCTTCCCGTACTCCTTCGCCCAGTCGGTGATCTTCAAGTGGATCTGCGGCTTCTCCCAGCGGAGAAATTGCGGCAGATTGCCGAACAGGGGGTACGCCTGAGGCCCCGGTATCAGGTGCCAGTCGTACTTGATGCGAAACCACCATTTGTGCAGGACGCGGAACACAACGACGGCCAGAAAGGCCACCGCCGCCAGCTGCTTCAAAGGGCGGACATCCATTGCCGCTGCGCCGTTCGCTGACGGCTGCGGGTGCGGTTTGGCACCGTATCAAAATATTCAACAGCCCTGCATTCTTGCACAAGGCGTCCAGAGAGTCCTTGGGTTACCGTATTACACCCTTTCGCATAGTAACGCAACCATTGGCCTTTTTTTTCAGAGAAAACAGTAAAATAGAAAATAGAAAATAAAATTAAAAACGCTCTTTTATTAATTTTATTTTGCGGAACAACATTAAGAATTTTTAAAATAAGGCGCTGAAAAACTATGCGGAGCAAGCAGCGCAACGGTAAATCTTTTTGATGCGGAAGGGTTGAATATACTACAGTAATGCTTGCTGAGATTCTGGACAATGAGGTCAAGTGTGAGGAGGGGGTCAGTGAGGGGCCTGGGATACAGTTTGTGATGTCAAATCCACTGCCCTAGATCGCTGACTTTGGCTCCCGCAAGGCCAAGGTAAGCCCGGACACATAGGCGTGTCGCCTTTGCGTTTCACGTCTTCAGGTGTAGAAAGGATAGATCCCGGTTTCGGGCGTGGGACCATTTGCAAGAACTGACCCGGCAGCGGCTGGCAAAGCCGGTAGGCAAGTGCCGGCGGGGGGGGGGGGAATAGCTCGAACGTAGCCGCGTTGACCCTCGTGAATCTCCTTGTTGCACCCCGATTGATCCCCGCAAAAAACGTTCGCTGCCCGTCGGAAGGATCAAAGAGATGAGCTGGCCATCGTCAACCGGAGCAGGAAGGATGCGCGTCTCGACGGCGGAGCTTGTGGTCGCCTGATACTCTTTTTGGGGTCTCGGATGAACCTCGTGCTGTCGTCCTCTGGCATTGGCGAGGGCGCTTGCACGAGCAGATCAGGATGGCCAGTCGCGTCCCGTGGCCCTTTGCCGTCGAAATGGATCGCTGCGAAGAGAGCGGACCGGCGCAGCTCAAGAGGGCGCAGCAATGGGTTCACACATGCGCCAACGGCGGCAGACTTTCACCCTTTGGGCCGACTGGCGGCATTGGTGATTCTGGCCGCCGTGGCTTTCCGCATCCTGCACAAATTGTGGTTCGCGTGAAGTGCGACTGGCGCCGGATCCCGGGGCCTCAGGGGTGCCCGGTCGTCGGCAACCTGCTGCAGCTTCTGGCCTGGGAGAAGACGCGGGTGTACCTGAAAGTCAACGGCTTGGCGAAGGAGTAGATTTTCAAGGTGATGTGTGGGGGATGGGGGCCGCTCACAGATCTGTGGACCGTGTCGCAACTGTTTACTGTTCGCGCAGAATTCCGAGTTTCGAAACTCATGGCGGACGGATGACGAGGCCAGTGGTGATCATTAGCACAGGCAGGCGTGGTCTTTACGTTTACGGCTCCATTTTCGCGTTTACGTTTTTACGCATTAAAACGCTTTAAAAGAGAAACGTCCATTTTAACGGCCATATTTATGCATGTTCGTGGCCCACCGACACACCCAGATAACATGATGTCCCAAACACAATGATGAGTCCCCAACCCCTCGAGCACCGGCAACGCAGCTTCCACTCGCCCTCGGCAGGGGGCAAGGACGTTGTCGAGCAAAAAGTCGTTTTGTGCACATTTCAGCTCTTCCAGCTGCCGCTCCCTGTACTCCTCGACTCGGTATGTTTTTTCTTTATGTACCTATGTATCGGGCACATTTTTACGCTGATTTACGCGCAAAAATATAAAAAACCATTTTCGCGCAAATAGCCATAAATAGAAGCGTGTTTGCGCCGTCAAGACCAAGCCTGAGCATAGAGACAGGTGGTGAAACCGGAGAATGTGCTATTCCTGAATTTCTCCAATTTGATAATCCACCCGCAGCTCCGGATCGAGATTAGCTGAATTTTCCACTATTTGAATTTATCTCCATTATTTTGTTCGGTGAGGCTGCCAGTGCTGCATTACTACAATTGGAGACGACTAATGTGCAACAACATGTGTGCCCCTGCCCATGTGTGATTGGCTTTACTTCACATTGGACAAAGAGCAACATTTGTGCTCTGCAGTCCTGGCTCTATTGAGCGCCTCAAATGGCCTTTCTGATTCTCGTGCTTGTGCAAATGGACTTTCCGGTAATTGCAAGGGTTCTGTATGTGCCAGATCCAAAGAATCTTGAGAAACACATCACTGGCGGTGGCACTCGCGGCCTGCCCAAGCCACAAATGTACAAATACTACCTTTTTTTCATAAGTCGCGCCCGATCTCCAATTCTTGCTCTATTTTTGCAAGATCAGCTCAATCGGTGAATCCCTCATGAGGGATCTGATGATCATCAGATACAGATTCCTTGGCCAATTTTCGGTTGATGTGGAACTTTAATATGTTGGTCTCTACCATTCAACTTGACATTTGCAACGCTTTCCAAAATGCCCCTGTTCAGTTACATACAGGCCCTTAATTTTCTGCATTGATGCATTGGTTATATTCCGGTATGTTCTAACCCAATTTGCCAAAATTCATTGAGAATCTTGTTGTAGTAAGTATGTACGGCCTTCAAAACCTTGACAAATCTGCAAAGTAGATGCTCTTGAAGTGATCAAGTTGTCTCTTGGCCTTCGGCCATCACTTGCGCATGGTTGTTGTTAACAACCTAGAGCTTGCAGCAAATTCAATTCTTTTCCTTGCAACTTCTGTTTAGTATGAAGCCGAATCTTTAGTGCACACCAAACCACCAAAGCATAACACTCTCCTACTGAAAGTTCACATCAATCTACATCTCCTTAAGGGCAAGGCAAACATGGCGTACCCTACCCAATGCCCGCAAAAAATGAAAAATCGCATTTCAGCCCTTTTTGGCATACCACAACAATGGCAGCAACATTTGGAACATATGAGAGCTCTGCGCATAGCTATGGATATGGCGCTTCGATATGGCGTTGTTTCAGTGAATTTTTCTTACTCATATATTTTGACGTCCATTTGTGCAAATTGGAAATTGGACACGACTCACGAAGCAGACGTAGCATTACCAAAAGATAAGGGCGTTCTTGGAACCATTCAGAACCGGAAAACCCTGCCAGCCACGTTTTCCCTAGGAACACTGAGGGCATTAAATGAGCGAGGTTCGTGCTACCTTGCGCAGCTTGAAACAAGGGGACCTAGTGGCCATGCAGTGCATTTTGTAGCACTGCATTGATGAGCAAAAGTTGCGGTACACGATTTAAATATTTGACCCTTTTGATTTGCCACATGTCAGCCATGACTCAAGCAGTACCGATCTTTCGGAGAACACGAGCCTGGACAAGGCTGTCACGTCCAGAACCCAGATGGACGCCACAGCTGTAATGATCATGACTGGCCCATCTTTGCTGGCCATTGAATCCTGTAGTTGTCCAGTCCACTTGGCTGTGGCGGCCTCTTCACGGGGCAGTAAATGGACGACAGGTGGAAGTCAGCAAGGAAGGGGGCATCTAAATCATTGAACACTGAAGCACTTAACGTTGTATTTGCATTGATATTGAAGAAGGCCGACGAGTTTGTTGATGTCATTAAAATACCCCTGTCAAGGGGCCGCTTGGCTTTAGCTGCTGCTTGCTCGCTTTGCTTTGAAGATAGCTGGATTTGCGGGCTACCGCATTGACTTCAAATCGTTGCAACAAACGAGCACTGCCTATTTTTCAAAGCTATTGAGTTTTGCAGTGCAGACCCACTGGCCTGCTCTGTAAACTCCTTTCGTTGTGTCCTGAAGCCACTTGTCCCCACAGGCAGAATCGCCCCGGAGTGTGATAAGATATATAGCCAGCTGTAGAGCGAGTACGACTCGATTGTAAAGGAGCTGAGGGAGGTAGGGTGTGAGCCCGCTGCAGGCGACCTCTCCATTTGGGCCCACCTGATGAGTCTGAAGGACCCTGAAACGGGACAGCAACTGGATGATGGGCTCCTTTGCCCAGAAGCGGCAACCTCCATTCTAGCTGCCACCGACGCCACAGTGCACCGGGCCATGGGGACGCTGTTCACCATCGCTGCCCTTCCAGAAGTGCAGCAGAAGATAGAAACAGAGATGTTCCAACGCCTCAGGAATGGTGTCATTGACAGGATGGCATATTCTGACATCGCCAGTCTGAATCATCTGAAGATGGTTACCAAGGAAGCAATGCAGATGTCCCCCTCTGCACCACTGGGACGATGAGGACCACCACCAAAGATGAGGAACAGTTGTGGGGGTACCGGGTCCCCAAGAACACATCTATCAGTGCCACCGTCCATCCTCTCTTCAAACCCCCCTTGGCTGTGAGAGAACCCTGAACGTTTCAATCTGCAGTGGTGGTCCAGCCAGTACAGAAAGGAAACATCGAATGTGGGCAAATGGTCTGAGAAGAAGGATGGCACACCACTCAGCTTCTGGTTCTTCAGCGATTGGCCGCGCGACTAAATCGGCAAGGAGTTGGCAATAGTGGAGAAATGATGCTCTCAAAACTCTTGTCCGAATTCGGTTTCACAAAACGAAGGTCAAAACTTGCGAGTTAGAAAAATTGATTTGAACAGCTCTGACACACCTCTCTAAAAGCTATTCATAAAGGCGTCGAACGTCCCAGACGGCCCAATGGTTATCAAGTTATGCCCCTACGCATCGAGGCGGGGCTTTGAATGTTGCAATCAGTTTGTCGCTGCCATGGCGAGCTCGTCTCACCCGTCGAGAAGGGCGGGATCGCCCGAGGTGCAACAACAAATTAAATAAATGTTTACAATTTTATCTAATTTATTATATAATTAATGAGGAAATACTTAAAATAGGATATCTCGGATAGATGGTTTGGATACGTGCAGGATTGTACAATTAGGTGTTCCTCTTGATTTCGGTGTGCGGAGCCACTAGGAAAAAGCAGGCCAGATGACACGGTCCTGACACAGTCTGCTCAAAATCCAACTGTGTACTTTCGACAAATGTGGTCCCAAAATACACAGTTAGTACACACATTGACACGGTTTCAACCGGGTACTCTCAAGCAACTGTGTAGACTATACGGTTTCCTAGGATACACGGTTAAAACTGTGTCAATGTGTG